ACCGCTTTACACAGAGCTGTCATTTTAAAGGTTATTACCTGCCTGCCGAGGAAGAAGCCCCAAGCAATTCCTTGGCATGAATGGGTCCTGAACCATGTGGTTTTGTCACCCTGGCCATAACTGAGTGGAGCAGGGATTGGCCTCAGACCCAAGGACGAGCATCCGTTATAAGCTGACTAGTGGCTTATGAGGTGACCTGGTGAAAACTGCACAAACAGAAATAATGGGGATTAAGCTAATCAGCCAGTTTTATCTCTTTCCCTCCCTCCCTTACCCTTTCCTCTTCTGTCATGGATTGAATTGTGTCCCCCAAAAATATCTGTCAACTTGGCTGGGTCATGATTCCCGGTATTGTATGATTGTGTACCATTTTGTAATCTGATGTGATTTCCTTATGTGTTGTAAACTCTATCACTATGATGTAATAAGATGGATTAGCAGCAGTTGAGGTCTACAAGATTAGGTAGTGTCTTAAGCCAGTCTCTTTTTGAGATATAAAAGAGAGAAGCGAGCAGAGACACATGGGAACCTCATACCACCAAGGAAACAGTACTGGGAGCAGACTGCATCCTTTGGACCTGAGATTCCTGCATAGAGAAGCTCCCAGACCAAGGGAAGATTGATGACACAGCCCTTCCTCCAGAGCCGACAGAGAAAGCGTTCCCTTGGAGCTGATGCCCTGAAGTTGGACTTATAGCCTACTGGACTGTGAGAGAATAAACTCTTTGTTACAGCCATCCACTTGGTGGTATTTCTGTTATAGCAGCACTAGGTGACTAAGGCACCTTCCCTCCTTCTCTCTCCCATTCCCTCTCTCTCCTCAAAATTACTCCTTGAGAGGTGGAGAATGATGGGGACTTCGTAATGGAAACTTAGTTTGTTCATTTGCTGTTCATTTATTCATTCAGCACTCATTTTAGTGCTCATTATTTGCTGGATACTGGTCTGTGCACTGCTGATTTATTTGTGGACAGAACTAAGTCCATGCTTTCATGGAATTTACATTTGAGTAGGACAGATAATAAGCATGTAATAGAATGTCAGTAGTGGTAAGTGCTATGAAGAAAAATGAAGGGGGTAGGGTGAATGTGACTAGAGGGGTACCATTTTAGATAGGCTAGTCACGTAAGGCCTCTCTGAGGAGCTGATGTTTGAGCAGAGACCCAAGTGGAAGACGAAGAGGAAAAAGGCAGCATGCAGCCACAATGAGGTGGTAAAAGCCAAGAGTTATATAGAAGTATCCGGAGTACAGAGTGAGATGAGGTCTTCTGGTTGCCACAGGAACAGAAGTACAGCTAGAGAGGCTCTGAGTCACCCCAGTGACAGAGGATTATTGCCAAGACCACCTGATCATTAGAGCTGTCTTGAATCCTTAACGTTGTTGCATTGCCTGAATTATTTCCCACTGGCCATGAGGCCTGGCTGTGTAGCTGCACTAACTCACTCTTTTCTCCTCAAGTGCTTTTTATATAGCCGTGTAGTTTAACTTGTTTGTCTCTACATTCAGGCTTGCCATTCTAACCATTTTATGTGTGGGCCAACGTGTTAGCAGTAGAGTCTTATTGCTTATTTAGACATCACAGAAATAAACTTTGAGTCATCAAAACATAATTCAATCTCCTTTTTTTGCTAATTTAGGAAAACACTGGTGAAAATAATCAGAACAATTTATTAAATACTTTGTTACTTTAAAAAGATACACATTTTGGGTTAACATTTTTTTAGCTGTTATTTATTAAATTCTAACTCCGTATGAAGAACCTAAGCATTTTGGAAATCTGAAGATATAGGGACACAATCCTTCCCCACAGAAAGACCAAGGTCTAGTAGTAAAATCTGCATATATAAATATACAGCAAGGCAGTTTAGATGACAATTTAGGTTTAAGCTGCTTTGAGTGGAAAAAGCTTCATGAAGATCATATTTAAGGAGTCTTGGATGAATGACAAGAATTTGGATAGACACAAAAGAAGGGTCAAAATATTTCATGAAAGGGGAAGGGAAACGAGCAAATCAGATGCATGAGGATTTTGGGGGGAATGGTAATTAAGCCATGTTGGCATGAGTGTAGAGTTCTTGCCAGAGGAGAAGTGAATGAAAATTTGATAACTAGAGCTGAACCTTGCTATCTCCATAGCATTGGGTAGCATGTTAACCTCTTTGAGTTTAAAGTGTACTCATCTATTAAATGGGATGGTAATGCTTGTCTTTTCTCTGATTCTTTTGATCCATGTAACTACTCACATCTAAATTCTTTAACAATAGTTCCTTCATTTTTAATCCAAGAAGGAGCCTGTCTGAGTAGGCAAACGAGTCTTCAGCGTCCCTACCATTTCCTTCACACACTCTCGCTGTTCTAGCTTCATCTTGGAAATGACACTATACCAAGTGCTTCCTCTGAAAATCTCACCAGTATCCGTAATGCCATTATCTTGGAGTCAGTCTCTTGATGGTATTTTCTTACAGCTAGCCCATACTGGCACCTCTATCCATGTGGCCACACGTGTGTTCTGGATCACATTCTCTTCTGTCTTCTCAGAGTTATTATTGCTATCCACTATCCTTTCTCACCCCCTATTCTCACCCTTCTCTCTTTATTGGATCCTTTCCATTAGCATGAAAATATGTTCAGGGTGTCTCTTCATTACATATGTTGTGCTTTGCTATGCCATGTTATATCCATATATAATCACATCATCTTTTTTTGACTGTTTACCTTTCTCTGTTGATTTCCTAACTCTCTTGTCTTCTTTGCTAAAGAAGTAGCTACTCTCACTCTCCCTGTTTCTAAAATCATTTCCTACTCCTACTTCAGCTCATTCCGATCTAGCTTCTGCCCCCGTCACTACTCAGATGGCTTATTTGACATTTCTGTAGCATTCGATGTATTAATCACTCTGTTCTTTAAAACTTTTTCAGTTAGCTTCTGGAGTATGTTCTAGTTTTCTGTTTATGCCTCTGCTTCTTTGCCAGCTCATCCTTCTCTAATTGCCCATTAAATGTGGATATTCACAAAGCTGGATCCTAAGTCCCTTTTTTTAAAAAAAAATTTTTTTTTTTAATTGTACTTCATGTGACGGTTTACAGAACGAATAGTTTCTCATTAAGCAGTAGTATACATATTGTTTTATGACATTGGTTAACAACCCCACGACATGTCAACCCTCTTCCTTCTCGACCTTTTTTTATTTTTGGTGAAAATATACATAGCCAAAGATACAACATTTCAAAAATTTCTACATGCACAGTTCAGTGACATCGACTACGCTCTTCCCGTTGTGCTGCTTTTCTCACTTTAGATGAAGGTTTACAGAACAAAATAGTTTCTCATTAAACAGTTAATACACATGTTGCCCTATGACAATGGTTAACAACCCCGCTACACGTCAACATTGTCCTTATTCAACCTTGGGTTCCTTATCACCAGCTTTCCTGTCCCCTTCTGCCTTCTAATCCTTGTCGCTGGGCTGCTGTGCCTCATTAGTCCTGTTTTGTTTTATGGGGCTGTCCAATCCCCGGCTAGTGCGATTGAACTGCCAACCTTTTGGTTAGTAGTCGAGCGCTTTACCGTTTGCACCACCTTACAATCACATACACACCCTGAAAAAAAAAAAAAACAACCAGTAATTCTTTAAAACTAACTGGTTTCGTGGTTTATTGGGGAGGAGAGGAGTAGGTAGAACAATCTTGCGTATATTTTCAGCTAATAAGGATGGGTAATAGGCTTTTAAATAACCAACACTTAAATGGTTAGAAAAGAACTGCCTTGAATGTTAATTCGACAGATGGTAGAGAACTGTGGTTAGAACTTAGTTTGTGCTTTTGATGTCTCAAACAGTTTAGAACAGTGTTGTTTTGTATTCATAAACTAATATACTAAATGCTCTCTCTCATGTTCTAGTTTCTACCCTGCTTCTGATCCTTTCAACCATTACATCCTCAGTGTATGCATTATACCAGGATGTTTTTTGGGGTGAGGGGATAAAAGGCCTCTGTTACAGTGAAAGCATTGTGATCCCTTTATTTGTTAGGTAGAGGTGATATGTGCCAATCAGCTTCCTAACTTCTTAATTTGTTGTTCCTTGCAGTTGACACTTAGAGTGAGAATATTAATTAACTTTAAATGAAAGTTTATCAGTTTCCCACAAAAATTAAGGTTTCAGTACTCTTTAATGTTGTTGTTAGGTGCCACTGAGTCATTTCTGACTCACCGTGACCCGGTGTACAATGGAACGAAACCCTACTCAGTCTTGCAGTGTCCTCACGATTGTTATGCTTGAGCGGATTGTTTTAGCCACCATGTCAGTCCATTTTATGGAGGGTCTTCCTCTTCTTTGCCAACCTTCTACTTTACCAAGTATGATGCCCTTCTCCAGGGATTGGTCCCTCCTGATAACATGTCCAGAGTACGTGAGACAGTCTTACCATCCTTGCTTCGAAGGAGCATTCTGGCTCTACTTCTTCCAAGACAGATTTGTTCATTCTTCTGGCAGTCTGTGGTATATTCAGTATTCTTAGCCAACAGCTTCATTCATACGCATCAGTTCTTCAGTCTTCCTTAGTCATTGTCCAGCTTTCAGATGCATATGAGGTCATTGTAAATATTATGGCTTTGGTCAGATGCCCCTTAGTTCTCAAATAAATATATGTATATATGTAAAACACCTTGGTTTTATATTTTAAACTCGGGAAGTGACTTTAAGAACATGTTTAATTATAATTGTTTTCTTTTGTTATTGTCTTCCTGTATTAGATTGGAGAAAATATTTATCCTAGTAGAAGTTTATGTATTTAGTTTTATTATTTTTTTAGCAATAAGTTGTTTCTTTAAGTATGGCAGATGCTTGTCAGACTCTGTGGTATTTTTTCTATTTTTGTTTTTTAGTAAAGCAGCTTTGCTAACATGGCTTAGCTGTGTATTACTGTCAGTGAACAGTTTGAAAGATTATAAGATTAAACAAGTTCATTTTATTAACATCACATTTTTTTCCATTTTGCAGCTACTTAGTGAATTTTTGGATGAAGCCATCAAATTAATTGCTTGCCATCATGAGCAGAAGCAAACGTGACAGCAATTTTTATAGTGTAGAGATTGGAGATTCTACATTCACAGTCCTAAAACGATATCAGAATTTAAAACCTATAGGCTCAGGAGCTCAAGGAATTGTATGGTAAGTTTTTACTTTCAAAAAGTAGGCAAGAATCATTAACTGCTACCTTTTCTTTTTTCATAATATGGATACCTTGTAAACATTTAACTTTCCTCAAAAAATTAAATAAAAGATAAAACTATAACATGGTAAGTTGTTTTGTTCAGGGATTAATGGTCTTTTTATTCGTAAAACTTTATAAATCAATATTGTCGTCTTTAAATATAAATAATGATTAAATATTTGGTTTTAAACCATGTAGAGACAAATACATGCGTCAGGAAAGATTAAGTGGCATGCTTAATTCCATGTGTACATCTATTCCCATAGCTAATTGTTTAATAAGCAACTTCACTTAACCGTCAGCTTCACACCCCAGTGAACCTCTGGAATTTAAGAAATCTTATTTTACATTGGGGAATAAAGTCGGTTAATATCATCTTGCTCTGTGTGTTTCAAAACTCATATGTATCTTTTAAATTGATTTACAAGCTGATTTCTACAAAAGGCCCAGGCTTTATAGATCAGCATAATTCCTTATCAACTGAAATGCAAAACACTCTTCGGGACAGTTTTGCTAGTGATTTTAGATCACTAAGTTAGCATAATAAGCTAGTGTTCGGGGGAATTCTAGGCCTCCTTCAATCATAATTATATCTTTATTACCTCTTCTTGCACCAGATCTGTTTCAGAATCTTAAAAAGTCATAAGCATTTACAACCCACCAATTCTCCAAGGTTCTAGAAAAACTCCTGCATATGTGCACAAAGAGACATGTATAGGGCTGCTCTTCGCAGTACTGTTTGTAATAGCAAAAATTGGGAACAGTATCAAGTCTCTCATGAGGAGAATGAAAAATTTTGATGTATTTAGTCAGTGAAATACTATCAGAACATTTAAAATGAACTAGACCTTATATGTATTGATATGAATAATCTCAGAAATGTAGTGTTGAGTTTAAAAGTGTAGAATCTACATGCATTTATATATAATCTAAAATATGCAAAATAATACCATATGTTTATGGGATGTATACATTTGTAGAAAAGAAGAACACTAGAATTTATTCTCTTTTTTGTATTCTTGAAGTAATTCATAGTGTCAAAAATTGTGGAAACTGAGATCATTTTATAAACTGGTATTTCCTGGTTGTCATTTTAAGGTAGACAACAACCACAAATTGAATTTAAAGAAAATAACATGATATAGTCAATATTACAACGATTCTGAAAAGCAACTCTTGGTTCATACTCTAGCTCTATGATTTACTAGCTTTGTGACTGTTGACAAATTAATACCTCCAAGCCTGTTTTCTCACCTAACTTACAGAATTGTTGTGAAGATTGTATTATTTTTGAAATATTTAATAGTACTTCAAAATATATGAATGTTTCTATACCTTCACTTATCCTCAGATAAGACCAGAATTCTTTAAAAAAAAAACTTACTTTGGAAGGGGCCTTAAGCCCTCTTGACCAGCCCCTGACCTAAGGAATAAAATACCTTCAAAATTTCACTTAATCATTTCCGTTAAAAAAATATTATGAAGTAGAGGAATATTAAGCCAAAAAAAAATTTCTTTTTAATTTCTTGTATGACTGTCTGAATCAGCTGAAGAAGTGGAAAAAAAAAAGGGATTATTTTGGGGCCCCAAACATAGATAGAATGATTCATTGGATCGGGATTGAGGCCCATGAATCCCCAGGTTATTCTGATTTGTGCATATTTAGGAATGAACAATTAGAAATCTAATTTTCACTACTGACTGCTCTGACTGGGGTCACAATAAAGGGTCCTGGGCAGAGCAAAAGAAAAATGTAGAACAAAAATCAAATCCTTAAAAAAGACCAGACTTACTGGTCTGATAAAGACTGGAGGAACCTCCGAGACTATGGCCTTAAGACACCCTTCTAACATAGGACTGAAGCCATTCCTGGAGACTACCTTTCAGCCAAACAATAGACAGTCTTACAAAATAAACAACAACAGCCAGGAGAAATGAGTTCCTCAGAACAGTTAATTATATGAGACCAAAAGGGCAGCATCTACCCAAAAGCAAAGACGAGAAGGCAGGAAGGGGTAGGAAAACCGGACGAAAGGTAACGGGGAACCCAGGGTGGAAATGGAAGATTGCTGACACATTGAGGGGGCTGCGACCAATGTCTTGGAAGATTCTGTGTACAGATTGTTGGATGGGAATCTGTTTTACTCTGTAAACCTTCACCTAAGCACAATAAAATACTTATTAAAAACAGAGAAAGAAAGGGAGGGAGGAAGGGAGGGAAGAAGGAAGGAAAAAATCCAATTTATTTGGATACAAATTAGTGGAATCCATTCAGATACTTTTAAACTTGTGGAATTTGAAATACTACTTTGATTTGGGAGATCAAAATTTTAATAGAATGAATTTGAAAATAAAACCTGCCTTATCTGAAGACAAAATTTTTAATCATTTTGTATGACTCCTAATGTTTTTTGTTTTTTTTAATTTGGACAGAACATACATATCTGTAAATCTGGCATTTTCTAAGTAGGGGTTATAATATTTATATATTTATATTCTGGTATGTATGCAGTAAACCAAACCCATTTCCACTGAGTTGATTTTGATTCAGAGCAACCCTATAGTCCGAATAGTTACGGTACGTATAAGAATGTATAGATGTGTCCATGTATGCAGTACATATTTCTTAATACATACATTTCTACACTGTATTTAATATGGTGAGATAGCTACAAAATAGATTTGAGTTTTCCATTAGATAAGAGAATAATTTAATAAGTAGTGCTAGCTTTCCAAATATTACATAAACTGAAATGTGTACTTTCATAGTATGTTGCATGATCCAGTATGAAAAGCGTGGACACGTGTTTTGGTCTTCTAGTCTCAGCTTTGCTTTTAACTTTCTGGCTAACCTGTGCAAAACACTTTACCTCTCTGGCCCTGTGTCAGGCGGTGCTGCATCCAAATGATTATTAAGGTCTCTTTCAATCATAAGATGTTATCCTTTTAAGTCACTTTATCTTATCTGTGCTTCAGTTTCTCTGATATGTCACATGCAAATGCTGCCATTTGTTCAGTGTCATGGGGTGGATGAAGATGAGTATGATGTTATATAATAAACCCAGAATTGTAGGTGTTTCATTAACAGTTATGAAGCAGCTTCTGATGTTCTGAAGTACGACATTCATATTTAAAAACCTTGATTTTTAGTTCTTCCTCCAAAACAAGATTTTTAAGGGCTTTACTTTTTCAATTGTAAGATAATCTTTGAGTATAGATACCTCCCTGTGCACTTTCCTCTTTCTTTCACTTTGTTGTGTCCAAAGAGGATACAGTGGCATATTTGCGTAGAGTTCTTCAGCAAACATTTTGAGTAACACTCATGACCACATGAGTTCTTTACTCTGCCTTCCTTTGTGTAGGTGCAGAGTGATGGATTCATTTACGTTTTAAACTATCTAGTGGTCCTGAATACTCACTAAAACATGTACAGCGATGCCCAGTGTATGCTAGGTGGATCTTGGAAGCTACTCAGTGAACAAGCACAGTCTCTGTCTTCATAGTCCATTGTCTCTTTGCATTCATTAACATTTTAAGAAGCATTATTGGAGAATGTTCTAATCTAGACATAGAAGAAGCATGTTAAGCATCGTAGACTAGGAAATTGATCCCATTGCGTATATCTTTGAGAAAGTAAGGTATCTGCACAAGTGTTTGGGGAGTTCTACAGATTTTTGCTTAATATTTTTTTGGTTGTTGCTTTTAAATTTCTAATTACAGTGCAGCTTATGATGCCATCCTTGAAAGAAATGTTGCAATCAAGAAGCTAAGCCGGCCATTTCAGAATCAAACTCATGCTAAGCGGGCTTATAGAGAACTAGTTCTTATGAAATGTGTTAATCACAAAAATGTAAGTGAACATTTTAGTTTTCTTAATTATAGATGAAATCAAGATTTATTCATGAGTACATGAATATCAAATACTATTTTTAAATATTAGGGGATTTAAATTGTTCTTCTGGATTTGTTCTTTGTTTACAAGAGATACATATTTACAATGTGAATTTTTTCTCAACTTTATTAAATTAGAAGAAAATGACTTCTGAAATTTAGACTGTAAGAGTAATTTTCTGAGATTTAATTTGCAAAAGAAGTTTTAAAGCGGTAAGTGCTTTAGCAGAACTTTATTTGGGCTTGATCTCATCTTCTGTTTTGTTTTCTGTCAAGCTGAAATTTCAGAAAACTGGAGCCTTAGCACAGAGGTGAAATTGTACTCATTATAATTTGACACTGGAACTTTATTAATTAATTATTATTATTTAATGGTGTTAGATATAAAATTCAAATCATTTTTCCCTACCCTCCCTCTGCCCCTTTAAGTGATGGCAGTACTCACTTGTCACTTTATGTTGAGGATAGCTAGTGATTATAAAGCAGTGTAGCAGAACTTTCTTGAAGATATTTAAGTGGAATTAGGTCAGCATTCCCATGATGTGATTATAAACTTATAACTTTTACTCATTTTGAGAGTAAATAGTTATACATTTTTAACTCACTTAAGCATACTGATATAATTATTTTAATGATTTCTCCAAGCTGAGAGGAAATAAACTAGGAGTGAATAGTGCAAGGCATCATTTTATGAAGTATTAAACTGAAGGTGTCTGACTGGAGACATTTTGTATTGTTTGTCCAAAGGGGTTTATAGAGTATACTGAACTCAATACTTCCTGATTGCAGATAATGCATTTTGACAGCTAACTATATGCAAGCTTTTGAATCATGAGGTTAGTCACTGAAGGGAAAAATTGATGGAATTCCTTATTTGGAAGCTTACAGTGCTCTTTTGAAGAGAAAAAACTACTTAAAGAGTTAAATACCAAAGGTCACAAAGCAGTAGAAGTTTAATTGCCAAATGATGGTGGATAGGCAATAAATGCTAAGATCTCGGGGAGAGAAGATTGATGTGAGCATTGAATGAAATGGGAAGGCTTTGAAGAAGGGGTAGACCTGGGCTAACTCATAAAGTTGGGGTAGAAATTGGGTTATTGAAGGAAAGCGGCCTCTCAGAAAGAACAGAGTAGCATAAAAAAGGCACAGAGAAAATTCCATGGTGGAGAGTAGGGGTTAAAGTCAATCAGTGACAGCTGCATTGAGGGAAGAAGTTGTAGCAGCCATTCTTCTTCCAGGTGGAAGACAGGCATGGTGCTTCTCAGAGTTTTGCTAATGACCTCGTCCCCTGGATAGAGCTGCTTGTGCCAGTTGTGACCTGTGGACCTGGGTTCGTGGTGACTGCAGTGGCAGCATTGGCTTAGTTTTCCAGTGGTGAGAAGTACATTGACTCCTACCTCTGGAGCCTGGGTGACAACATCGACTAAGTGGACGGTGTGGAAGCATGTGTCACATGATTAGCCCTGTAGTGGGTTGGCACAGATCTATCCAGGCACTGCCCTCAGCACCTAGAAGGGTGCTGGCACAGAGTGGATGCTCAAAACATATTTGCTCAGTGAATGAATGTAGAACTAAATTTGGGGAAGCCAGGAATGGTAACTGAGATTTTCCACTCCCTGATGGATGTTTTTGTAATGTCTTGCTTTTTAAACAATTTCATGTTTTACACATATCTCTTCATTAGTCCAAACATCTCTTGTTTTTCCTGCTCTTTCCATACATGGTTTTGAGGTTTTTTTGTTGTTGTTGTTTGTTTTGTTTTAGCACTTGGCTGCTAACCAAAAGGGCAGCAGTTAGAACTAACTAGCCATTCTGAGGCAGAAAGGTGTGGCAGTCTGCTTCTGTAAAGATTACAGCCTTGGAACACTTTGGGGCAGGTCTACTCTGTCCTGCAGAGTCGCTCTGAGGAGGAATTGACTGGAAGGCAACGGGTTCCCCCCAGCCTCCTGCCCCCAGTGGATACTTTCTGTTTCTCCCTGTTACATTTTACATGTGAAATTTGGTTCCTCTTCTGGATTGTTAGGATTGTTTTTTTCTTCTTTGTTCTGACTTTTCACTTGTTGGCTTCACTTTCCAGTTTTCTTCAGGATGCCTTCATAAAAGCTGGTATAGTTCATTAGCAACTTTTGGGTATACTTCAAAAAATAACATATGCATCTAACTATCAAAATTATCCAGCTTACCCCAATTCTTCATCTTACTCACATGGATGTTATTACTAGAGTATTTTCAAAAAGCCTTTTTGAAATCTTGAAATCTTCATATACTGTATCTTATTCCATTTCTTTGGTCTACTGCTATTGCTGTTTGTTGTTTTTATTTACAGCAGGAAATAAAATTTCTCAAGAAATTTTTATCTACTCCTGGTAATTATTACTTCTTTCAAAGTTCTAGTATACTACCCACGTAATCCTGTCCTGACTTTTGCTTGGCTATTCAATCTATAATTGATATAATTTTTTATTTCCTTTTTTGTAAAATGAGACAACTGACTGCCTTTAATCTTATTTTAATAACAGCTTTTTTGAGAAATAATTTACATACCATAAAATTCACGCATTCAACATGTACAATTCAGTGGTCTTTAGTATATTCACAGATAGGCGTAACCATGACCACAGTCAATTCTAGAACATTTTCATCATCTCAGAAAGAAACCCCATATCCTTTAGCTATCATCTACATGCTCCTAAGTGCTAAGCAACCACTAATTTACTTTCTGTCTCAGTATGCCTTTAATCTTTTAACACCTTTCTTCCACCCTAGGATTTCTCAGATGTTAATGAGAATAGTTTTACCACTTCCGCAAGTCTTCAAAGCACGCAGTTTGTCTGGTTAGGAGACTTCAGTTCATTTAGAGTAGCTAGATGCTTTTTTACTATTACTTCCCCTATCTTAAACAAATTTGTTTTATCCTTTCCGGTCTGAATATCATTTTTCTGAATTTATTCACTGAACAAATATTTGAATGGCTGCTTTAAGCAAAGTTTTATGTTTAGATGAATAACAGATTCTACTGGCTAACAGCCTATGTCTAGAGAGACGTTCTCATCCGTAAATGTAATTGTTGGCAAACATTTTCAAACTGTGTGTCAGGTATCATGCTATGTAGTAGGGCTATAGAAGTGAATAAGAACTAATTCTTTCTAACAAGGATCCTGGTATGGACAAGACTGTTGTGAAATGAGACTATAGTACAGTGTGTTGAGTGCTACAATAACATAAGTACTGAGGGGACAGAGTGGAGAGAATTTCAGCTCTGTCAAGGGCTTAGGGGTTGTCAGATTCTACAAAAGAGATCTATCTTTAAAATAAGTTCAGTAGGTAAATCACAAGCATGAGGAATAGAATGTTTAAAGGTGTTGAAGGTTTTTAAAAACACACTATTGAAATGAATTTAGTATGGCCAAGCTATAAATTTTAACAGAGGGCTTAGCAGGAGATTAAGTGGGTTAATATCATGGAAAGCCTTGAATGTACTACTAGAGAGTTTTCAGTTTTGTTTGCTTGAAATTTTTGAGGAGGTGAGGAATATGATCACCTCTTTCTTTTAGTATATTAAACCAAACAACCAAACCCATTGCCGTTGAGTCTGTTCCGACTCGTGGTGACCCTGTAGGACATGGTAAAACTGCCCCATATGGTTTCCAGGGAGTGGCTGGTGGATCCAAACTGTTGACCTTTCAGTTAGCAGCTGAGCCCTTAACCACTTGGCCACCAGGGCTCCTTTACTATATTACAGGCAGTAAAATGATAGCTGAATTTACAGAATACCATTATTAGGAAACTTGGTTTTAAAAGTAATTATAGCATGAACAATCTAGATTAGATGTTAGAAATCATGACTTATATAGGAAATTCTATAGAAATAACATAGGGAATAGAAAGAAGAGATTGAAGTTCCGATTGGCAATAGGATGGCCAGCATTATTTTGAGTTATAGTGTCGATAATGAGGAAGGAGTCAGAAATCACTCTGATTCTTCTATTGTAAAAGAGAAGGCACAGTGGAAAACTAAGGGGTTATGGTGGGAATGGTAATGAGTTCAATTTTATATTATTTGTGACACATCCATGTGAAGTGGCAATTTGTATTTGAGACTCGTAAACTAAGTACAGGCTTTTAATGCATGTTTGGGGATTATCCACATAGAGATGTTTGGAGAAAAAGACGTAGATAATACCAGTCAGGAAAAATACAGACAGAGAAAGAGGAAGATTGAAGATAGAACAGTGGGGAAGAGTGCATCCCCATGGATGAATCAGTGGAAGAGACTGGAAATGAAGAATACTGGAAAAGTGTGCAGTACTATGAAAAACCAGGGGGAAAGGGCTGAAATTATAGAGAGATACTGAGTGGGATAAAGAATTGGTGGAAGGGAGGCGGGGCCAAGATGGTGGAGTAGTCAGACACTTCCTGTGGTCCCTCTTACAACAAAGACCTGAAAAAACAAGTGAATCAATTATATATGACAATCTAGGAGCCCTGAACATCAAAGGTAAAGTTGAGGAATCGGACTAAGTGGCAGGGGGCGGGAGAGACGATTTGGAAGCAGTGCGGATTTGCCAGACCTGACTGGGCAGGAACTGGCACCTTGCGGGACAGATCGGCTGGCATGCAAGCTGAGGCAAACAGTGGCGTTCAGGATGCGTTTTCCACATTGGGAGAGACCAAGCGGCGCAGAGTCTACTCATGCCTCCAGAACCAGTGAAAAGTGGCATTCAATCGGTAACAGTTAAGTACATGCATCTAACCCACCACGCAGATCAAAAAACACCCCATTTGGAAAGAATCTCTCTCCCATTTACCTGCCTCCCTGCTCTGCACCGGGTCTCCCGGTCCAGCTTCAGCAGTTGCTGCGTCCCTGGGCTGGGAGTAGGACCCATCATGCACCCTGAGCCATTCTCCCGGCCTTGCAGATGGAACAAATTAACAAACTGGAAAAAATAACCTGCCAGC